TAAAAACTCCTCCACTAAGGAAAGAAGGTAAAGAAGTCAAGTCTCTTCAATTGATAAATGGTTGGTGCCCGATCTGTCAGCGTCTATACACCTGCAACGGCTGGGAATGGTCGATGATGCTCACCGTATAAATTACTTGTTTTTTCTCAGATGAAATTTTAAAATAATAAAAAACAATGAAAGTATCTGGGGAAGGCATTATCAGGAAATTCAGAATATTTTTCTTTTTTCTTTTGTTCCCATCCTTTTGTTTATTTATCATGATTGTTACAAATTTCAAAAACATCAACAAAATCTGACCATATTTAATCATATAAAAAGCATTAACCTTCCCCAGTTGACAAGAAATATGAAATAGTTTATTTTTTCCCTTGTGATGAGATGATAAAGGGTTTAATCATTGGATTAGTTATATTCATAGGGGGTTTTGTATTCGAATAGGTATCTATGTAGGGGTGTCAGGCGAGCCAAACCGCTCGCATGTCAACTCAGCTCGGCTTGACTTGTTAAATACTCAAACTTGGTTTGAGTTTAATCGAGCTGAGTTGGCTTGAGTAAGACTCAAATTAGGTATTGAGCAGAGTTCGAGTTTACCCTGGCTCAGCTCGATTCAGCTCGCAAGTCAATAGTAGCTTGTATAGAGTTTTTTTTTTTTTTGCAAAAAATACAAGTTTTAGGTCTGTGATTGTAATTTGACATGCAAAATGTTTAAAAAATCACAAATTAACCCTTAACCCAATTAACCCAAATCGCACAAACGATTTCCCCTAAATCATAAACCGTATTTTCACATTACTAGTCATTGTTTGTGTTGTGTAATTTGTTGATGTATTTTGATGTGATTTATGTTGATTTGGATGCAAATTTACAAAAAATTGGATCTGATTTGTGTAAAACAAGATCTGCAGGTTATATAAAAAAAAAAGGTCAAATGAGCCATAATCGAGCCAATTCAATCTCGCGTTAATCAAGTCGTAATCGAGCTTTTCGAGTCGAGTCAAATGAGTTCGAGTTGAGTTACGAGCCGACTCGATTATAAACAAGTCAAGTCACGAGTCAAATTTGCCTGACTTGGCTTACTCATGACTCGATTCAAACTCATCTAATATTTAACCGAGTCAGACTCGTTTAGGGTGATACTTAACTTGACTCAACTCGTTTACACTCCAAATACCATATAATTTGTGCAATTAACCTTATCTATTGGACTTGTAAAGTGTTTTGTGATCCTGAAAATTAGACAAGCTTCATATATATATATATGAAATAGTGACTTTTCGACTCCCAGGATCAAACGCTAACAATAGTCCTGAACAGGACCATAACTTGTGATTTCACTGTCGGTTGTTGTAGCCATCGGTTTTTGATTCCAAGGTGTCAAAGCATATACTTCAAATTTTTTTTTTAAATGAGGCCAAATCACCAAAACCACAAAATCAATACATTAATGGTTGAGTAATTTTAAAATCAATAAATGAATAAAGTCAAATTTAACTTTATTAATTTGTAAGATCCAATGGAATTGACAGGGCCACGGGCAAATAGTTTAGTGGCAACTAGATAAGTTGACCATAGAGTTGGAGGTACAGTACAACAAGGACAGCCGTGGACAATTTTAGTTTCGTGTCTTGACCCATGAGACCATGAGAATTTTCCAGATCAACTTGAAGGAAATCCTCGTGCCTAAAGTTTTCAGTCAAGCAGACGGGTCCACCAGATCAATGGGGGTGGGCCTTGATGATGGAGTGGATGGGCTTAGTGGAAGTTACTGAAAAAGACATTTAATAGCAAATGATTTTTATGCTCCCTTAAAGTGCTTCTCCATATAATCCCAACTCGGGTGATGAATTGATGATGATAATGGACATCACATTCCACTCCACACTGCATAATTTTTTTTTTTTTTTTTTTTTGTGTGCGTTAACTAGTTTACGCACGTCTCAATTAATCTTCAAAACTCATTAAACACCTTAAAAATCTAATGTTTTAGATAAATTTATAGTAAATGACTCCAAGATTCAAACCCAAAAAGTCAATAAAGAGAGTAACCAATTGGGGTTCACACTGCATATTTTTTAGTAGAGTGGTTTTATTTGCGTTTCCCTGATCAAACTAAAAAAATCCCACTTCATAAAATATTTTTATTTAAAATTTTAACTTTGTTTACAACACCCAAAACAAAGATTGAATGAAGACAAAATTTTCGTAATGCTCTTCATTCAATTTTTTTTTTTTTTTTTTTTAAAAGAAGAACCTTTTATAATCTTCAATCTCGATATAGAAAATAAGATATCTGTGAATTGATGAACAAAGTTGGAATATAAGGAGTTATAGTTTATTTATATTTTAGTGGGGTGTCAAAATTCTTTATAAAAAAAAAAATAGTAAAGGGAAATTTTATTATTCAATTTAGTGTTAAATTTTATAATAATGAAAAATATTAAAAAGTGATATTTATTTAGTTTATCTGAAAGACCAATACAATCGTTCTTTTGACAGTATGGTGTTGCTATCCCTTTTGGGCTTCAACAACACTGGAATTAGTAGATCCATATACACATAGAAGAGCTCCTTTTTGGGCTGGAAGCCTATAATACACCACTGATTCTGATTTGATAAAGGACTAGACAAAAGTCACAAACCTTTGTAATGGTTGAATGAAGGGAAGTGATTTGGCATCGTCTAAATGATCTTCATCCCCCGGTTAAGTATATTTATTTTATAATAAAAAAAATCTATCTAACCCTGTTTAATACCGAAAATATGTTTAATTAGGTTTATTTTTCTAATTTCAAATTTAATTAGGGTTTTTTTTTTTTTTTTTAACACATTTTTCCCACTAGTTTTCTAATTTCAACTTATTTTTCTCTTATTCAAATTCAAATTCATCCTGATATGTTTTCCATAGTTTTAGTTATTATTTTCATTAAAGATACAAATATTAAAATAAAACAAAAGGTTTCAATGATTATGAAAATTTAAGATTAAGTTATGAAAATTTAGGTTAGGGTTTATGTAAGATTAAATGTTAAAAATTAAAACAAAAATATAAAATAGAACATCATGTATTTAGAATTACAATGTTATTTATGTGATCTAAATAAGGTTAAATTTGTCAAATAAAAAATAAATTTAAAAGTAGGGGGTAGAGATAATTAGGTGGGGGCTAAAAATTACTTCCTTAAATAAAGTTCAAAATATTGAGATTGTTATGTATTATTGCATCATCTCTTTAATTAATTTTAATTTTTCATAATATCTGATTATCTGTATGTATGAGGGTTAGGTATTCAATTATTTTAATTGTTACAAATGAACGAAAAAAAATAAATAATTAAATGACAAATTCAATGGAAATTGTTTTAAGTTAGCAATTTTTTTTATTTTTTGATGATCGGGGTATCCGAGTCTGATTGCACTCACCTCAATTAATCCTTTAACGCTGAAATTAACAACCGGATAAGCCTCCAATAACCACCCCTATTAGCAATCGAGGTAGATCGGACTCAAAACCTCTTAACTAATACACTCAAAGTACTTACTAATACTATTTCAAATCTTATTTAGGATGTGTAGTGTTTATACTAATTGTGATTAGTTGATTTTTAATTTAATTTTTATAATTGGGAAATATCTAGCTGCCTCTTTTGATACTTGATGTTATATTGTCAAATTTCATATTAGGATTTCTTTGGGGGAAAATAGAGGAATTTTAGACCCATAAGATTACTTATCTAGTGATAATTAAGGGGACCCATAATATAGTGATGGGGTTGTATATTAACTAAAATAATGATAGTTTGAAATTAATTAATAGGAAATCATAGTGGTTCATTATAAGCAACAATTCAGTCTAATATGATTTTTATATTTATATAAAAGTGCTGTAAAAGTCGCCTTTCTCTGATATGCTAAGTAATAATCCAAATATTAATTATTATAACATACCTAACTAACTTATAAAATTATATTTCCACAACTTATTCAATTTTAATAATTTTAGAATCCAACTCGTGGCATGTTATTGGTTGATTCATCATTAATCCCCCGCAATACACAATAACTGGAACTTGCCAAAAGAAAGGTTATATAATATAAGGACCCCGAAGGTTCAACAACTATTTTAAATGTTTCTCTAAATTCGTACTTCAAATCTTTTATTTTATTTATTTTTAATGACCAGTGTTGTTTGGATCAGTTTATACTGCACCTTTAACTCTTTCGTGATCTTGAAACTACCGATCGAGTAAGATCTTTAATGGTTACCCTTATAACAATCGAAGAGAGACTCGAATTTAAGACCTCCTGAGTAATACATTTAAAAATCCTTATAAACCATTCAATCATCTATATAGTTTTCAATTTCAATAACACTTTTAATTTTCTTGGCTACCCTAGCCTGTGTTATATATTCCAAATTATAATATCTCAAAATCAATTACGTACTTCCAAATTATATATATATTCTTAATATATTTTCTTATATTTAGCTAAAATAAACAAATATTTTTTCAAATTACTTGAGGTAATTATAAAAGCGCTACCACAAACATATTCCCCTCAAATTTATTTAATTTATATATACATATATTGAAATTATAAATAACAATAAGTTGAAAAAAAAATACTGACATGATTATATAATGATGAGAAATCCTCCAAAATAAGGATGTTATATATATTTCACAGAAAAGCTTTAATTATTTGAAAAAAAAAAAAAAATCTATAATAATATATGAAAGCCATCCAAAATCCAAATACATTTCTATTCAGAATTCAGCCATAATCAAATGACATATTTACCCTACGAATTCAAAATTTTCAAGGGCATTTTCGTCAAAAGAGTAGGTTTTCATTTAGATTATCTACTCGTCTAAAATCTAGCCAACACAGCACATCGCACCCCTGTTTAAAACACAGTGATGGCTAATTATTCTGAATCATACACCACTAACAAAAAGAACACCCATCTCTGTCTGTTTCCACGTATCTTTCTTGCAATCTAAGCCTTCGTTTCATTTTAAAAACCCCAATTCCCATTTCAAATCTCTTATCATCTCCCGGAAAACCCCACTTCTCGAACAAATTTCATAATATGACCTCAGTTTGCATATCCACCTGTGTAAACGACGCACGTGACCCACTTGTTCCTGTTCGCGCCACCTACGTCAACCTCTACAAGTGGCCGGAGTCTGACGCCGAGTTCGTCAGATCAGTTACGTCGAGGTCTAACGTGCGCCGTGGGGTTCATGTGCATGGGCACCCTAGGGTTGTGGACAGCATCTCGTGCAGGCAGATGTACCTGAGAAGCTACAAATTCTCGCGAGATGACGATAAGGAGGCCGAGAATGAGAAGACCGCATGTGTTTTGGTAGAGTGAAGGAGAAAGACAAAAGAGAAAAAGAAAAGGTGGGTGTAATAATAATAATAATTATAACAGAACGGAGGATGAGGAAAGAAAGGACAAGGAACGACGTCGTAAAAGGATTAAGTGTTTGAGGAAATTCTCATGCAATGCATTGTTTAGGCTTTTCCCCAGGTTGTTGTCTTGTGGTGCTAGTATAGATGTTGCTGATCGTTGATTTATTTATTTTCCATTTTCATGAGCTTATAATAATTTGGTTTCTGGGTTTATTTATTTCTAAGATATTTGTGTTTTCTTTTTTCTTTTTTGTTTATATATGTAATGTTGTTTAAGCTAGAAAAAGAGAGGCAGAGAATTGAGCATGAAGGGTCTCTGTATATCTACATGTTTTGCGGTTAATCTGAGCTTAATTACAAACTTTTTATCTAATTAATTATTTCATTTTTCTCATTACTTCTCTTCTTAAACATGTTCAAAGAAGGTTCACAGTCATTGCTATCAGCCTGCTATGACTGTCAGGTGGAGTTTCTGCTAAAAAGTGGTGGGTAGTTCATAGTTGATTTATAGATTCTGCTATTAAAAATATATTTACTTTGACCAAGTATATGTTAGTTATTCCAGCATATTTATTTTTTGGTTTAATTTTACCAGGTGGGTGATTTAAAGATAATCATGTTCAAGTAAATTCTAAATCAACGGTCAACATTAGCCTGCAGCAGATTTTTTTTTCGGTGCTTTTGGCCCCTAGTGAAAGTGACAATTGACAAAGACATGCACGATAATTTGTATTGGATTCACTTTATATACTTACCAAACAGATTGAATTTATCGTTGACCAGCTACAGATACTAAAAAGGACGAAATAAATACAGCCGATTAGGTTAAAGAAAATATCTGTCAACTGGAAAGCCTATAGTTTCGGTGAAATTGCCCTCCAGAATAATTCTATCGGCCTTGCCTCTACAGAATTTGAATAGCACTTTTGCTTTCAATGTTTCACGAAACACTTTTATTTAACTTTGAATTTTAATTTGCAACTTAAAAACTTGAGTTAAAATAGCAAGTTCTTGTGGGTGTTTCATGCTTTCAATATTTTATCAGAGAGAGAGTTAGGATGAGAATTGACAATTCCAGGTCAGGAAAAGAGAAGAGATAAGCTATATCATAGCAGTCACCAAACACAAAGACTTTCCTGAAGGAAACTTGAGTTTTAAGGGAACCCGTTACTTATTTCCCTGGTGAAACTTTGATATTCCTGTGGGGCACATAAATGACCAACTTAAGTATATAGGGGCCAATAACTTCATCAATTTTCTGAGTTCAATAAGCTTTAAGGATGAAATGCAATGATCATCTATCTCTCCAGGATATATAGAATTTATTTAAGCTTATGATGATGTTGCCATTTTCTTCTGCTACAATCCATTTTTTTACAGGTTCCATTATTTCCAAGATAAAAACATCATTATTAGGATTGCATCAAGCTCAGAAAGTTACCATGTTTCCCCACCTCTTTTAACATTAGCCCTCATTTTCCACGAAGCAGTACACTATTAAAAGGAATTGAATTCTACAAATTAAAGAAAGGATGGACCAAGCTTGCATTAATGGTATTGAATTCGTGGGTGTAAATGGAAATGTTATGGTAACATAAGCAGAAGCCGCCCATATTATCCAATAACAATTTCGAAAGGTACAGCACAATTAATGTTGACTTAATAATACATGTCTTGCATGGCTCAAATTACACTTGGATGACAAATGTTGCTGTATTTATTATTTAAACGGTGGAGATCCACCTGTTTCATGGCACCATATTCATATCATGTGTTCCATTTTTTGAGGATCAGTCTAGTCGTCGACGCCGGCCTGGCCCTGTCCATCAAACAGAAATCGGGCTCTGCCTCTGTTTTCTTATTGGGAAAGTATTGGGTTTACTAGACCATGAGGTTTTTTTCGGGGCCGAAGTGGGTAAAGTAAATCCACAGTTTTAAATTTCATTTAACTATTCGGTAATGCAAATATAAAAGCTTTGAAATTAAACAGTGGAGGAAGAAGAATAAAGCTTTTTATTACACTTACATCCTCACCTAAGCAGAAGATGCAGGAAGAAAATAGCGAGACTAAAAATCATTCCCCTATTATAAATAAGTCTAGAAATTTATGTAAATCTTTATGGTGGGTTTGGTTCGGGTTCATAAAAGATTAATTCGACAATCTATTTTAATCCGAGAATTACCATGTTTAGTTATAAAGTTAAAAAACATTCCAGTAATCTTCAAATACTAATATAGTGGTTACCGTAGGTAAACTTAGGGGTAATTCAATTACCGACTGAAAGGGTGTTAATTTTTTGTTACCGGGTTAATCCTAATTTTGTTCCCATTTTATCCTTAATTATTAAAAATTTCGGATAGAAATGCTCTTGTATGTAAACCAAATAGCAAATAGACCAACTTATTGAAATTACTTCTATACCCTGATAAATTATTTTTTGGTACAGAAATATCCCTCATTTTACATAAAATTAATTTTAATTTTGTTACAATTTTACCCCTAAGAGGGCCTTTGGATCATATAATGTTTTATTACAGGGGATGTTATATTAACAAAAAGATAAATCACCTTGAAGATTACTGGGAATGTTTAGAAAATATGTTTGGTCAGTTCGAATAAATTGGTGAATAATAAGTTTGGTTGGGAGGATAAAGGAGTGGATATGTTATATAGATTATTAAATTGTCCTTTTTTTTATATATTAATATAATAATATTTTTTATTATCATTTATTTTAACTCCTTACATTTGAAATTTTGCTAAAATACCATAGCCATATAAAACTTTAATTTGTAACAAAATCACCTCCACCCACCTCAAACCATTGTCGGCAGCCAGCTACCACCGTCAACCATTGCCGGCAGTCGACGGAATGGCACACGATTGGTTGTATATGGCCGACTGTGCACCGGCAAAGCCATTTCCGGCCATGGATCACAAATCCATAGCCATTTCACGACTAGATCTATGGCCATTTCACGACCAAAGATGTGGCCATGAAACGACCACAGATCTGGCCATGAAAAAGCCAAATATGTGGTCGTTTCATAGCCAGATTTGTGGCTGTTTCACGGCTAGATCTAGCTGTTTTTGGCGCATGACCGGCCAGATCCCGCTAGTTGTGCACCATTACAGTGACTGACATCGGCGGCCAACAGTGGTGAGTAACGGTCAGCAATGGCCTTGGGTGGCTGGGAGTATTTTTTTAACTTTTAAACTTTTTTGTGGCTGAGGTGTTTTAGCTAATTTCTCAAATGTAAAGGGTCTGGGTAATGGTTATTTAGTAGACATTTGAGGCAATTGTGTCCAAAATTGTATTTAATTAAGGACAAAATAGGTATAAAAATGAAGATTACCCGGTAATGTTTTAATCCTAGGGGTGGGGGCGGGTATTGGATTACCCCCCACATTACCAATAGTAAACACTATTTGCAATAAAAAATTTCTGTAATATTTTATTACTTGCAAACAAAACACCGGAATCTTATAAAATAAACTAAGATTAGCCCCGTTATCTTATATTCCTCTAATCCAAACGCACCCTAAGTAATAAAATTTTTGGACAGTAATGCCCTTATACTGAAAACTATTTACATAACACTCAACCACCCAAGACGACTGGCGGCCACCACCCTCGACCACTGCTGACAGTTGCTAGAACGGCGCACAACCAGTTGGATATGGCCGTTTTTGACCAGATGGCCATGGATCTAGTCGAAAATGGCCAGATCCAAGGATTTAGCCTTTAACAGCCAGATACTTAGATCTGGTTGGAAACGGCCAGATTGGTGCACAACTAGTCGTGCGCAGTCCGAAAACTATTGGCAGCGGCCCACGGTGGTGGCCGGTGGCTGGTAGGCGTCTTGGGTGGTTGGGGTTATTTTGTTAACTTTTAAATTTTTTGTGATCGGGGTATATTCTCAAATATAGGGGGTTAAATGTAATAATCTAAATAATAATAATAATAATAATATTAATAATAATAATAATTAATTAATAATAATAATATTATTATTATTATATTTAAAATGAAGGGAAATTCAGTAAAAGTTTCTCCCATAATTCTTTTATTCCTCCCAACCAAACATATTAATTATTTATACCCACCAATCTAGCCAAACGATATAATATAATATTCCCACTAATCTTTCAAGTAATCAATTTCAGTGTTAATCCTATATATTTAGTAATAAAACATTCTCAGCACCAAACGCCCCTTATAGTCAAAATCAAAAACCTCAATAGGACTTTCTCATATGGGTAGTAGTGTCAAACTGGAATAAATTTACTAGTTTGGGCCTTTTCGGTCCAATTTCTCCGATACGTCGGGCAATTTAGCCTAGACATAAAGGGAAATGAGGAACTTGGAAATCACATGATTTTAAGGGCATATTCTTGATGAAAAAGATGACATTCAGATAGCAGTAGAAGAAAATAGATGAAATAAATAAGAAAATGATGGATCCCTTGATCGGATAGTTACCAAAACCGCTAGAATCGTCAATCAAAACCAAAGTTTCGTTGATCAACATAAAAGGTTTTAATATTCTGAAAATTGAAACTATAAGAAGGTCCAAGATAATTAATTATAGAGTTAGGGTTTAAAAAATTTCCCTTCATTTGATAATTAATTGCTTCAAGTATTCTTTTTATTTTTCTAAAAGAGTAATTTCAATCTCATTAATTAACTTAAAATTTTACATATTTTATTTTCTCTCTTTTCTTATTTTTTATTTTTAAAGCAGATTTGGAAAAAACAAAAGAAGGTCTGTATATGTTTTGCTTTCTATCAAGCAGATAAGAATGATGGTGAGCCAACACACAAACCAGGGGGCGCACTTTTTATCTATTTTTGAAAATTTTCTTATGTTTTGTGATTTGTATGCACTCTCCCTCCCTGAGTAGCCCAATCATCAACATTCCACGCTGAGCCACAGATTGACACTGTTGGGATTATGCCTTGAATCTCATATTGTATGGGAAAGGGAGATGCAAGGGGACTCTCCCCTTTAAATAGACTAGTAGATTGAGTTTTAAAGTGTCTCAAAAAAGAATAGTCATTGTGGGCTATTATTAAGGGTGTAATTGGGCTTTTTGGGATAATGTAAGTAGTTTGCAATTTTTCTCTTCTAAAAATTGCACAGTTGTAAGCTTTTGCTAGTAGATTGTTTGAGTGGATAGTAGACGTAGGCTAAATTGATTGAGCCGAGCCACTTTAAAATTCTTGTGTTTACT